TTGAGCTTAAAATAAATACTTGGCCAAGATGCGTTCTAGCTAAGTGAATACCCTCTTAGTTAACAAGTAGCTCCCAAGAGGAATTCCAGGAATGTGTGTGTGCGTGCAAAGTAGCGAATGGCCACGAACTAGAGGAGGAGGAGGAGGAGGAGGAGGGGGAGGAGGAGGTGAGAGTGTTAGGCACACACACACACACACACACACACACACACTGTGTGTGTATTTTTTTCTTCAACTCGAACGAACGCAAGCCACCATCGCTAGACGACAGAGCGCGGGAATAGGCTAAGGTGACATTTTCGCCCACATTTGATGGGGTGCTAAGTCTTCACCAGCTGATTTTGCAGCAACAGCGTTAGAAACAAAAAAAGCAGTTCCTTAATATTGATTGCTTAACATAAGCAAAGAAATTTTGCATATTAGGGGGGGGAGGGGGCAGGGGGTCATGTCTGTGGTAGTTGCTGTGTCTCACGAGGGGCGAACGACGTGAGGACGAATTTTTAAACCAGAAGGGAATATGTACTGTCATCAGCAATTTCTAATCTTGATGAGCGTTGATGAGCGTAATTGTCGAATTATTAAAAAGAGGTTTTATTAACGAAACGAGAAAGCGTCATCTAATGCTCCAGTGGATAGAGCATTGCTTATAGAACCTCCCTCCTAGTACCAGCGGGAAAGTAACGTTAAAACAGTAAATTGTTTTAACGTTAATACACACCTTTCGATTATTTAAGTGGTGTTTAACATGGGGACCCACCTGGTGAGCCAACATTTGCGTTCATCATGAGAAGCCGATGCAAAAATGCGAGTGGTTCCTGTCGGCATTTTGATGAAGAAGCAATTCTCACGACCACCCACGAGACTCGAGTGGATTTTCCCGAATGCTAGTCCCTGGCTTTTGATATCAATCTCAAGTCTCTCTACCAGCGGCGAATTTTGACTGGAGGAATCAGCGAGAAGTTGTTGAGAGCGCAAGAGAAGACGCTGTCGCAGAGCCTTTCGTCGTTTCTGGAGAGCTACGGTTTCGTGGGAAAAAGGAGTGTCCAGGTCATCAATAAATATATCACTGGAACTAATTCCGAGAAAGACGGAATTCAACATCAGCGAAGGACCAGCTCGATTTGGTCTAGAAAATGAAACGCAAGTCAGATATCAAATATTTTGAGATGACTGAATTAAAGAATTGCATCGTTGAAAACTTTTGAAAAGCCATCAAGATGACGATACTTGATGCATCTCACAATGAACGGAGATAGAATTGAAATTCGCGAAATTATGAACAAGAGATAAAAACGAATAGTTCCAATTTCCTGAAATTTTCGGAATGGCTATGAAATCAAGAGCCAAGTTTGACCAATGCCACAATACGAACTATGATAGGGCCAAAAGTTTCCACATGGACTCACTTCTACAATCACATTCAATTATTATTAAATTTCTTCTCAAATACTAACAAACTTCGTTGATTTACATTCTCCTTATCGGGGTGTGCGATGGACTTACCTCCACATGGTGCACCCTGGGCAACGTATATTCATACGGCAAAAAAGTCTATCAATGGGCAGTTGACTTCTGACTTCAAACTACCATCACCTCTCTCTATGCCATATTCGACTATTTTCACGGTACTCACCTCACCTTTGTTCTACCTTTGTGTTTGTCTCTTACATCTTTGAAACACTCTTCTGTTCCCCCCTCTCCATTTTTTTCAATTTGATGTACCTTCCTCTCTGTGAAGCCTGAAGTCAGCTAAAGGGCTCCGTTGATTTACATTCTTCCTATCAGATAAAATAACCTTGAAAGCGAAAAATGGGACAGAACCATTCCGCTAACATTTTACGACGACAGATGTATGCTTTTGTACAACTGTTTCAAGCGTAAG